GGTAAAACAAAATCTTGGTCATGACCCGATGCATTGATATGATAATTCAGGGTTTAAAGACGACTGGGTTATCTCTGAAAACATCCAGGGTTTCCAGGTATTTCCCCGTTCTTCTTTAGCATATCACTATTATCAGCCCACATTGCGCCTCAGCTCACATTAGCTTGCTACTGAAGTTCCTCTTCAAACCACATACCAGCCTGAGAGGTTTCAGCAGTGTTCCTTCCCTTACAATTTTTTCAGAGAAGAGTACCAGCAAGTCAATTTCACTTCAATTTCCCACTCTCCAGCCAACCTGGACATGTCTGGAAATTTATAGTGATTTTTGGATGGAGAGTATCCGTACTGGGATAGGCTTGTAATGTTCCATTCAGTAAGCATTTATTTTATGTTTCTGGCACGCCTAGGCTAAATGGCAAATGCATGCACTGGAACTATTACAGTGCAGATGATTGCTTTTCTACCATTAGCTGGAAAAGATTCAGAAGATATCCATCATGTTAAACAACAAGATATTTGGCTCTCACCTCATTACTCAGCCCTGCTTAACTAAAATTCTATAATTCTAGATTTCTCCTAAGTATGACTGCAAAGCCCCAAGATTTATACACATATAGTCAAAAGACTATTCACAGTAGAATGACCTGTTCAGAAAACTGTGAACTGACTCCTGCACAGAATAGGGAGGAGCTCAGACCACCATGGACCAAAGTAAGCACACCTGTTTGCCCCTTAGGGCGCTACCGCTTTTGCATTAGACGGGTGTAAGGTAGAATCTAATTATATAGACCCATTTAAGTGCTGAACAAAAGCAACCCTGGAAAAGCTACTATTGCCATTTTAAAGCAACCAAATTGTGTTGTCAGTCTTTATTGTAGGATTAAGAATATTACACTGTCTTCTCATTAAGAGAGGATTTACAGCATAAGAAAACATTTCAGCTTTTCTCCTATAGAGAAAAGCAGTTGGATTTCCTTCCCTGGGGATGTTAAAGAAAATTCAGACAAGGAGGTTTCCAAGTTACAGACCTTAGGTGAGAAATGAGGAGGAGTGTTGGGCATTAGTCTTCTGTTCCCAATCTTGTCTTTTTAACAAGAATCTGGATGAAGCTACAGAAGATGCATTTATCCAGTAATGTAGACAGATATGGCTAACACACTGGACAAGATAACTTGTATTCAGTACATGCTAGAACGCTGAGATGGAACTAAATAAGGTAAAATCTAATAGACATAAAGCAGTCCTACACTCAGGTTACTAAGTCACCTGGCTGAATAAGAGCAGTCCATAAAAAAGGGCATGGAGATTTTATGAGCCAGCACTGGACACACATGCTAAACATGGTGCATCCTTTTAGGAAGGATCTGCACATAGCAGCTAGACCTAGAACAAGGAGCTATGTTTACATTAGTTAGAATACATCTGTAGTATTATGTACCTTTTAGATGTATTTACATTTAAATGTATTTATAAAACTCATTTTATATAGACATTACACACTAGAGTAAATCTAGGTGAAGGCAACCAGGATGTGTAAGCATCTGAAAAACATACAAATATGAGAAACAGCCACAGAAACTGAGGACTTCTAAACAGATGATTTGGAGAAAAGATGTGACAAGTATCTTTCAATGCGTAAAGCCTTAAGGGTTGCCACTGGCAAAATGTGGTACAATTTGAGCATTAGAATTAATACCTGATAGTAATATACTATAACTAATTAAAAAATAAAATAACCCATGAGCCAGTGCTAACAGCAAATATCTAAACCTTAGATTCTAAGGGCTAGCAGATGGAAAAGAGAGTAAAGTTCTTTTTAATAGACAGTTGAAGCTACATCACTTTAGGTCTAGTACAGAGAAGAACCTGCTGACAGTTAATAAACAATAAAACCACAGGGCAGAAGTAACTCAAGCATTTTTAAAGATCCTCACAGTCTGCTAAATAATTGTGCGCTTTTATTCATAGAATATAAACCTTTGCTTCTCCTCTAGTAAGAGTGGGAATTAACATTTACTGAATGTCTAATGGTTATCAAGCAAATATTTTACATAATCTTTCCAATAACTCAGTGAGATAAGTATTATTATCTTTGCTTTAGAGAAAAACAAAGGTGCAGTAACCTATCCAGTGTGACAAAGATAGTGTCAGAGCTGGGATTTGAACCTAGGTATACTGAACTCCTTCAATATACCTAGTTCAATATGCCTAGGTTATGTACCACAGCATATATAACACACATGGAATGGTTGCAGGAGACCCTGGAGCTGCCACAGCTCCTCAAGTTGGTGTGTCATGGCCCCTTAATTGTTACGCTTTCCTTATCTACTTGGCCAGAAAGGGAAACTATTACTGCCATTCCTCTGGATTGTAAGAAGAAGACTGAGGTACTCTTCTAAAAGTCTATTGTTAGATGAGTCTGAATTGGGTGAGATGTCTCCTTCCCCTCCCCTCCCACAGCCACCCTTGTTTGCCCTTCTGTTGAATATGAGTCAGTTTACCTGAATCAGTCCACTTTGTTATCTTCTTTTTCAGAGACTGTTTACCTGACCACTTAGGAACCAGGATTCCCTGGCCATCTACTATAGTTAGGGGAAAGCCTGACACTGCTGATAACATCTACAAATTCAAACATACCAATGAGTGATTTCACGGATGAAGGAAAAGTGCAGTCATAGAAGACACATGGCTGTCCTGTTGTCACTGTTTTGTGTTAGAAGAGTAAGAACATTTAAATTACAGTGCATAGTCCTAGACTGATTGTCCCCTTATTTTAAAGTGTGACTAAGTCTAAGGAACTTTCTAAGTTTTGTGTATACATATAACATAGAATCTTCTGACCTTCTGCTCATGTCTCCTAAGGCCAGAGAAGGTAGTTGGGATTTAATCTTTCTTTAGCAGATGTAACAATAAAATATTCATATATCTGTTTGTTTTTAGACCACTGGGTTTAGCTGCCTCTTAATCCTGAAGTTTCCTGAGACCAGTCACTTTGTCCCCTCTATTTATCCATTTCACAAGTATATACTGAGCCCTTGTGTGCTGCATGTCAGGAGTACATCAATGAAACAGACAGACACAGCTCTTGCCTTCATTAGGGCTCAATGACCTGGCTCCAGAGACAGACATGAAACAAAAAATTATACAAGCAGAGATTCACACTCAACAAATAGTCCACATCTCTCTACAGCATCCAGCACAGAGCTTGGCACATGATAGGTGCTTCTACACAGATATGTGAGTGTTTATGCAACATATGCAGAAAAACTGACCAGCTGAGTTCATCCTAGCATCAAGAACTCAACGCTTTGAGTTTCAGAGTGGGGAAAAACATGAAAAATCAGGAGATCTGTGTTCTAGTTCCTGCCTTCCCACTAACTACTAGAATTTTCTTGGGTGAGTCACTTAGTTTCTCTGAGCCTGCTTCCTTACTTGCAGAATAAAGTCTAAGTACCAGGACCCCTCATTAAAAGTAAAATGGCTAGCCCAGGTTCACCTACCTTGCCAGAAAGACAAGGAATAGCTGAAGCTGAGGTCTTTCTTAAACAAATGGCTCTAGCATAGGGGTCTGTGTCAAAGTTAGCTGCTGGGAAGATGGATTGGCATCTGGAAGGGATGAATTCCCTGGATCATGACACCAATAGTCCATGTCTGAACATGGGAAACAGTACACTTGACTTACCACCCACTGACTATTTAAAGAGGAACACGTTTTATACACTAGGAACACTAGGTTACATTTCTAGACAACAGGTCAGAGGAGACAGGAAATTACAGAAATGTTTTCTGTTTGTATGTTTTTACAAGTGGAAAAAAAACTAATTTTCCATCCACTCCGATAGTCAGTAGAAAATGGCTTAAAAACTTAAGGGCAGTTGTCAGAACTACCTTGAAATAACCTTGAGCACTAGTCTAAAGCATGATTAGGGTGATTTGGCACCATCATTTCAGCAAGTTAGGGGCACAGTCCCCACACTAAGGTCTCAATGGTTTTTTTTCTCCCAGCAAAAAAAAAAAATCCTAATGAATGCAGATCATCTTTAAAAGAAATACCTATAACTTAGAAAACTAAAATGAAGCAATGACACAGCCAGCTGTCTGAGCCTGAAGGAGCAGGCCAAAATACTAGGTCTGGATAAACTAGGGACAAATAATCTTTGGAAACCCAGAACTTAATAATATCACTAATACACAGCAAAACATCATCTCATACTCTTTGGATTCTGGAGTAAGCAAAGGAGGGTAGGCTCAGACATGGACCCTTTCTTCCCTCTGCTACAAATTCCGGCGGTTGCATTCCTCAACTAGCTGGGGCAAATACACAGAACCTTTGCTACAGTTTCTTCTCATTTGCTTTCCCATCAGAGCTACTAACTTTTGCTTACTTGCTCCAAAATGTTAGAAAGCAAGTGGTCAGGCTTTCTTACACAACAACTACATCCTTCATATACAACTGTCTGGTCGTCCTGTCTCTCAGCAACTGAGCCCCAGTAATCTGGCCAGAGGAAAGCATCATTTCCATTAGAGTCCCTTTGGCCATTTCCCAAACCATTAATTTTGGCCTAACTTTGAGATGAGCTCTTCTCAAATCATTGTAAATTGAGCCAACCATAGCCACTAAGGTCTCAGGACACTATTCCAACTCAACCTCCCTGAGATCCATCCTCCAAGAAGGCATAACAGCCCAGGAAGCCCAGGTGGGGCATCTCAGAAGGAGAAGAAACCTAGACTCCTTTACTACTCAGCCTTTCTACTTCTGTTAAACTCTCCCAACGTCAGAGGTCAGCCTCAACCACCACAGTCTTCCATCCCCTCAGACCAGATCTCATGCTGGGACATACCTCCTCCAGCCCTGTTCTTTCCCTCTTGGATGGCATAAAGAGACAACTGGCTCCCGAAGGTAGGATCCATAGTGAGAGAAATTCTCTAGGGGTCCCTCTCCAGGGGTGGTTGAGTCAACAAGAAGTCTCAGGGGAAGGAAGGTTAGGACTTTGTCCTACCTTGTCACTGTCCACTGTGTTCTGAGAGGTCCTAGAAGCAATGGAGATGGTGTCTGGTTGGCTGCTCCCATCCCCCTGGCTGTCAATATCCTCCACTCCATCCCTGCAGGAAGAAGAGAAAAAAAACAGGGGTGGGGGTGGGGGGAACCACTGTGGGTTTAGAGCTCACAAGGATTTCCGGCTGGGTGGGCAGAGCAGCGCCTCAGTACTTTCTAGCAGGGATTTGTCTAAAATTATCCTGCTAAAGAGAATGGCCCTATGTGATTTTCAGTGATGTCACTTCTTGCACTTAGTAAACACATAATCACTATGTTGATAACTAAATGTAAAATGACCCTCTTCCCCAAAACTTCTCCAGCCTATGCTGCAGAAGGGGTGTATGTATATGTGAAAAAGAAATATATATATGTGTGTGTGTGTGTGTGTATTTTTTTTATTTATATATTACATATTTATATATTTATATTACTGGGAATGGGTCTGTAATAGGCAGTAGGAAGATATACATCCTACTTAGAGCCTAGGCATCTAACCAGGTGATTAGGTCATTTCCAATAATCACAAGTTCAGGGTATTCAAGTTTTTGTACATACTGTAATTAGGATGAGGGTTCATTTACAGCTGGCCTATAGAGAAAACAGAAGTGATAAGATTTATTTTTTTTATTTTTATTTTTTGAACGGAGTCTCATTCTGTCACCTAGGCTGGAGTGCAGTGGTGTGATCTTGTCTCACTGCAACTTTTGCCTTCCAGGTTCAAGCAATTCTTCTGCCTCAGCCTCCCAAGTACCTAGGATTCCAGGTACCTGCCATCGTGCCCAGCTAATTTTTGTATTTTTTTGTGGAGACGGGGTTTCACCCTGCTGGCCAGGGTGGTCTCAAACTCCTGACCTCAGGTGATCCACCCACCTTGGTCTCCCAAAGTGCTGGGATTACAGGTGTGAGCCACTGCACCTGGCCAAGATTTCTTTTAAACTTGTGTTTCTTCTGTTCAAGAAAACAGATTGAGTGGAATATTGCCTCCAGGGAATATTATCATTGAGAAATTCCTGATATTGGACCCTCAACTCCTGGGTGTGGAGGAGGAATTTATTGCCTTCCTCTGGGTGAGTTTCAAGGATCTCATGCATATTTATAATGACTTCTTATCAATACAGAAGGCCAAGGCATTTTCTCAAAGATTGGAGAACAGTCACAGGTTCCACAGCAGCTTTTCGAGCCAGCTGTGCTTCTGAGTGTCAGCTAAGAGTCTCCTGAGTGCGCTCCTGGCATTTAGACCCCTTGCTGGGCCCTGTATCATACAGCTGTCCCACTCACATGTTCTTTCAGCTCTCCAGCTGTAGAACTGTGCCCCCATCCTATACTGAGCCCACAGCCATGGCCAGGAAGGACTGGATGTCTGGAAACTAATGAAGGCTGCAAGGTCTGTTCCTGGAAAAGCTGGTGGCAGTGTAGGGTTGGGGTTGGGTGAATTAGCACAGGAAATGACAGCTCTTCTCATGGGTGCTTTTACAAAAGACACCCTGATGATATTTGTGGAGAAGTAATGGCATCAGGGAACAAGAAAACTGACAGCCTGAGAATCCTACCAAATGAACAAGGTGACACAAATAACGAATTCACCTCAAAGGGTCTAAATGGTTATGCTCTGGTGTATGTGTGAGTGTATGCAGATGTGTGTGTATGCAAATACCCATGCATGTACACATGTATACACACAATGTCTATTCACCATAAAAAGTATTTTCACCCACCCAGAACACAGAAGTCAACTGCTCTCTCACCATCATTTGTGGGCTTAGGAAATGCCAATTTATTTTGATAACATAAGCCACACATTCATAGGAAGGAAAATCTGCTGTAAAAAGAATTTATGTGACGCATTTCAAAACCAAAAATAAAGGACTTTTAGATCATCTGTTGTTTTGGATTATCTGGGCGAGCGCTCCCCACCATGTGTAGACAGTTAAGAGCTGGCTGTACTTTCTGCTTCCCACTATTATGGCCCATTGTGGGCTCTTCTGGTCTACTCCAGATGAAGCCACTTCTGGGGATGTGGGGAGCCCACCTAGGAGTGTAGGTAGCATTCCCCAACCAATGCACTCCTCTATAAACTGTCTCCATATCCAGGAACCTAAGCTACTGGAATTAAAGACTGCCTGGCTATTCTCTGAAGAGTATGCCAAGGTTTCTCACCCACCCATCACACGACAAGAGAAAAGGTGAGAGCAGAGAAAAGGGCATTTCCAAGATATGCCATTTCCATGTTCTAGAAATGCTCAAACTCTCCTACTATAGGAAAAAGAGGCTATTGCAGGGTAAGTGACCCTAGTGAGCCTCACCTGAGTATCCTCTCTGTGGTCCTAGACCATAATTTCTTTATAACTGTTTCCTTTCTAACTTCTTTATTAAAGTAGGAATTCCCTGAAGCATGACCTGTCTCCACTGCCAGACTTTAGTCCGCCCCCTCCTTACCTGGACTCTGGACATAAACAACTTAAGTCAAAATGACTCTTCCCCCAGAATAGTTATAATTTGCCCATGCAACACTGAGGAGGCGGCCTTATCCTGGTCATGCAGGTCCTGGGGCTGCTGCCCCGTGGAAGTTTCTCTACCATAGTCACACCCTTCTTTTGGCTACCACCTCACTCAGGACTGCTGCTGCTTCATAGGCCCTTAAATGGCTCCCTACCCTGCTTGTCCTGGTTGGTGTCTAAGGGTGAACTAAATACTCCAGATTTATTCCATTCATGTACAGGGGAGGAAGGAAGAACCTGTTACTCCCAATGACCATCTCTGCCAGAACTCTGGGCTTTTTTCTTCTTCAAAATTTATGTGAAGTTTTTGTATGCTTTCTTCAGAAGTGTCCCCCAAAAGAGTTATTATAAATGTAGGTGTCACATGGAGACTTGGGAAAGAAATACTTAAGAAGTCATCCACGGGTTTAGCAGAAACTGGGATTCAGAAGGGTCCAGAAAGATATAAGAAATATGTCCTCTTCTGCCCAATGACATTGCTTATTATAGGTGAGTGAATGTGAGGTCTCTGTGGGGGTTGCAGTAAGAGCTGCAATGAAACCACCACCCCACACATTACAGTACACAAAGCCCTTTCACTATCTAATATCTAGCCAGCCCAGAGAGTTATTCCACTCTAGGGCTCATCTCAAGTTCCCTTTCTTTGAATTCTTATAGAATTTATGATCCCTATAGGTGGTTCTGGTCTATTTCATGTGTGAGACATAACTATTAGATGGCTCTTAAGGGAATTGACTCATCTTATACTTCCTTTTATCTTGCAGCACCTAGCAGAGTGTTTATTAAATAAGAGGTGCTCAATGTAGCCCTGCTGAATTTGACACTGGTGAGATGCTTAAAGATGAAATGACTCATACTAGGTGGAACTCACAGGCCTTCCTGGAGAGTGCCACTGTGCAGGGCACATTCCCCTCCAGAAGCAAATGTTCATCCCATTCCCGCACCCAGAGGCCTGGGAGGCAGGCAGTGCTGGAGGGAGAGGCGCTGGTTACCTCTTACTATTGTTCCTCTGTTTGGCTGGTGTTTTGGGGAGCTGAAGTGGCTCCTTTAAAGCTCCTTTCAGGTGAATGATCCTTTCTTGAATCACCTCTCGAATGTTCTTGATCCACTCCTGCTTGGTTTCGATGTTGGAGGCCTGGAGTGCCACAGGGAGAAAGACTGAGAACCCCAACTCCCATCATCTTGCCAAAAACAGTTCTCAACCCTCCACCAGCAGTCTTCATCCATTATTTTCAAGGATTCCAAATGTTTGGGGAATTTATTTTTCATTTCATACTTATGACTTTTCAATACCAGAAACAGGCTTCTTCAACTCCCAGGGCAGTGCTCTGACCTCAAGACTCAATGCAGAATTACTTGTACGGGAGTAACTGTCAAAGTATTTCATAACCCATAAAGCACTGACCAATCCTGATATCTGCCCTGGAGCTGGGACAGTATCTGGAGGTTCCCCCAGGACAGGGATTAACACTTGGGTTGCTAGGTCCTGGGAAGTTCTAGCGGGCACTGGGAGAGGCAGTATCTACTTTCCAATCAGTATGGATATATGTCAGGATGTTCACCTAGCATGGATACACAAACTTGTACTGACTAGAAGTCAACCCTGGGTTTGTGGCAAGCTAACTCTGCTAACTGAAGGCACTGCTATCATTTTATGATGATCCCATTTGTCTTGGTAGATTTTTTTTTTTCTGGTAATTCTGCCTCACAACAGGTAGCAGCTATGCTGGCAATTCAGAGTGAACAAGTATGAAGCTGTTGTTGGGGCTGGACCATCTTCTTCTTGGTGATGGGCACTTTCCTGACAAGTAAATGACTGCTGGGAGCTCCACTGTCTGCATGATCGCTGCTCAGACACGCTAACATCACTGCTGCACCCCAGAGAGCTGCAATGACTCAAGGCCGTCCTCTGGTGAAAGAACCCTTTTGACACTTCTCTCCATCATTATGGTCCCCATGCTAATGTGATTTACTAGAGGTTTAAGAATGTAGGTTCCCAGGGAATAAGATCCATGTCCTGTACAGTTATCCCCCACCACACTAGGTACTATGCCTTCTATACAGAAGCTAATTAGGAAAAAATGTCAAATTAATGTGGAGCAAATCAAGGTGACTTTTGTCAAAGGGTCAGTTGTTCTTGCCATCTGAAGGAAGACATACGGACACAGCACACTTTAAGTGGGTCTTGCTGAGGTGGCCCCGCAGGCCACTCCCTGCTTTCTTCCCTCTTGGTCACACGTGCATGCACTTGAGGAGATCATGCCTCTTTGAGATTCTGGGTCTACCTTTATCACAGAATTTATTTCTCAATACCCATGGGATGCTGCCATTCCCAAGAGAGGCCCATGGCTCAGTAGAGTCTCTGGGCCTTAACTTTCAGGCGTCAATTGCCCACCCCCCACCTTCTACTACCTCCAACCCTGGTCTTGTGCCTAGCAGAAAGCAGTACTTACTTTCAGCACTGTTTTATTGTCTGAGGATGGGGTGCGCCCAGACCACAAGGCAAATTTGCAGGGGTCGCCCTCCACGTGCTCGGTCACACCCAGCTCTGAGGTCTGTAGACAGGAAATGCCTGTGAGAGGCGGGGAAGGGGAGGGCAGTGGGGAAACTTAGGGCTGGGGTGGGAAGGGAAAGGCAACAAAGAGGAGAGGACCGAGGGAGGGGCTTCTGTCAATCAAACTTTAACAGATTGGATATTCTGTTCATCTACCCAGGATGGAAGGACCTATAGGCACGTGCCTGATTAGCAGGTACCAGGGAGGGAAGGTGAAGAGGGAGGTGCTAAAAGCAAACAGAAAGAAGAACTGTGAACTCTAAAATGCAGACGTGGGAGGTGAAGGGGGGTACTTTCCAAATAGGAGACATTTTCATTTGTCCAGGATGGTTTTGGTGTGGAGGCTGGGGAGGAGATGAGATGAGTGTGTCCAGATCCCTTCCTGCCCATGGGTTCTATGAAAGCAGGGAGTCTTGTCTTACCCCACCTGCCCCACCTACCAGTAGCTTGTTCTTGTAAACATATTTCGTGTGTCCTGTAGAGTCTTTGATCTCCTTGCTAAAAACCAAGGAGATCTCAAAGAGGAACAAGTGCCGCTCCCGCCCCTTCCGGATCAGCGACTTTGGGTCCCACACTTGAAAGGCATCCTGAAGAATCAACTCCCCCTGCACGTCCAGGTTCTCGTCGAACCCTGAAAAACACCCATTTCCATCCTGTGGAGCTTCTCTACTGCCAATCAGGGACCATGTTCCACTCCCCTTTTGGAGAAAGGCCTCTCTTACTGTTAGTCCTCAGTTCCTACAGGGTTTCTCTCCCTCTGCTAACTCCAGAGACTCCTGAACACTTCCACAGGCATCTCTGAGAGCTGCAATTAGATCTCTCCTGCCCAATTCCTGCACCATGACTTTAATGTACATAACCAATATTCATGGAATCTCCTGCAAAGGTCCTATGCAACCTCATATCCTCACACACTCACTGTTGGCTTCCTGCAAGGGCAGATCCCAAGGCTCCTTTGTCCTCCACAGCTTTCTACTGTTCCTGACTTGCAGCTATGAGTGGGGCTGAGGACAAACACTGACTGACTGAGTGTCTTCAGCTCCTCTTTATCTGTCATTACCTTCTTTTTTTTTTTTTTGGGAGACAAAGTCTTGCTCTGTTGCCCAGCTGGAATACAGTGGCATGATCACAGCTCAGTGCAGCCTTGTACTCCCAGGTTCAAGTGATCCTCCTACCTTAGCCTCCCAGGTAGTTGGTCTATACATACGTGCTACCATGTCCAGCTAATTTTTGTGTTTTTTGTAGAGACAAGGTCTCCCTATGTTTCCCAGGCTGGTCTTGGGCTCAAGTGATCCTCCCACCTTGGCCTCCCAAAGTGCTAGGATTACAGGCGTGAGCCACTGTGCCTGGCCCGCCTTAATTCTTTTATTCTATTTCTAGAATTCCTCCCTTTGATTGCTTTGCACAAGCATTTAAGTTTATATTTACACCACTTTAAGTTTTTAAGAGAGGCTCTCAAATGTTAGTGTGCATAAGAATCACCTGGAAAGCTTATGAAAACATAGATTACTGCCCACCCCCAACCTCCCCAGATATCCTGATTCAGTAGGTGTGGGGCAAGTCCATAAATGTGCACTTCTGATAAGCCCAGGTGCTGTTGCTGCTGGTGGTAAACAAACCACGCATGGAGTAGCTGGATCCAGAGCATAGGTCAGGGACTGACTAGAGGAGCTGGGTACTTGCAGAGGATGACATCCAGGTTGGGGTGGAGGGGGAGGTACAAACAGAGAGGAAAGGAGTGGAGAAACAGTGTCAATAGGAATACATTCAGACGGTTCCTGCTCAGTCTAGGGAAGGTAGTCAGGGCTCCTTTGCTCTAAGAATTGAGGCTTCTGGTGCTAAGGATGGTCCAGAAGTATGGAGACCAGATCAAGTCTCCTAAGGTGGTATTGGTGGTACTGGCAGAGTAGGATGAAGTCCAGAAGAGAAAAAAACAGCCCATGTGCTTACATACTTGCAAGACTATACACATTTCCTTTAGCATGCATTAAAAATGTTAAATCTTTTTTTTTTTTTTTTTTTTGAGATGGAGTCTTGCTCTATTGCCCAGGCTGGAATGCAGTGGGATGATCTCAGCTCACAGCAACCTCCACTTCCTGGGTTCAAGTGATTCTCACACCTCAGCCTCCTGAGTAGCTGGGATGACAGGCATGTACCACCATGCCTGGCTAAGTTTTGTATTTTTAATAGAGATGGGGTTTTGTCATGTTGGCCAGGCTGGTCTCAAACTCCTGACCTCAAGTGATCCACCCACCTTGGCCTCCCCACCAAAAATGTTAAATCTTAACTCATCTAACAAATTCTGCCCCAATATGTCTGCTCTGCCCACTCATTTTGCAGTGTTAAAGACCACTTTACTGGAATCTTACTCTATAGGTTTCTCATCCTAAGAAGATAGTTCCAGCTGACTGAAGTCTTATCGGAGTTCTTTGGCTGGGCTTACTAACCTTCTAGGAGGACAAAATGCTGGTTGCACAAGAATGTGAAGGTATTTAATGCCACTGAACAGTACATTCGAAATTGGTTAAAATGGTAAATGTATGTTATACATATGATGTGTATTTTACCATAATAACGAAGAAAAGGACATAAGGCTGAAGATGGTATGTTTTGTGTGTGTCTATGTGTGTTTATGTGATCAGGATTTCTATTCATTGTGATGACCAAGACAATGCAATGCAGATGCTATGCAGACTAGCAAGACTGTTGTGGGTTGGGGGATCTCGCACACCAACAGTGAGGATGATAGCCTGTCCTGGACTCTCTCATGTCCACCTAACCTCCAGTGGCTTAGGCCTGGTCCTTCCTGGAAGCAGGGTACTACTAGCCAAGTTGGTTCTTGTGGAGGCCCTCTCATATGACAAGGGTCTATGTAACTAGTTGTCCTTTCTTCTCTCTTCCAGCCTCATACCTTGTCTAACTTCAGGCCACTCCCTCCCATGATTCAAGCTCCCCATCTTAAGGAAGACCAGAGGCTTCCCCAGTGCTGGCAGGACAGCTACCTTCCAGCATGCTGACATGCATGGCATCATTGGCTTTCTTTGGGACACTGAGCATCACTTCCAGGCCATCCTTGAGCTCCCCTTTCCCTTCTTCGCAGCAAGTTAAAAGTTCCTGGGGAAAAAAAATTCGGGACACAATTAGGGCCACCTCCCCCAGCTTCCTCCCACCACCTAACCCACCAAGGAAATTACAGACCAGCTTCACTCTCTGTAATGGTTCCCTCTGATCTACAAAGAAAGTGAGGTGAGATGGGGTAAGGGGTTATCTCCAAGAATTCAACCACTACTTTTCTCCCACACTGAGCTTTCTCAGCCCAATCTAGCCCAAACTAACTCAATCCAACCCAACTCCCAAATTGATTGACCTATAAGACAGCAACTGAGGCCTTCTCTGTCACTGGACTGCCCTCAGAGAGGGGACTACCCCAGCAAAGCACATGAACAGAGGTGCAGTATTTTGCAATCCAATAAAGAGACTAAAGAGAAGAATGAGGAGAATAAAGGGAAGATCAAGAGTGTGCTACACAGCACTCATATATCCCTGCATGCCTACTGTGGACACCACTTTTATTTACAAGCCTCTATAACCTGAATGCTGGCTTCCATCTTACTGGGAACAATCTGAGGTTGGAGACTTAATAGGCTAATGACATTCCAGAATAATAAACTATTTTTAGATCATATGGATCAGGAATTCCTAATCTGGGCCAATAAATGGGATTCTAGACTATTTCACTGTCAGATGAGGTAAGTGCAATTAAGAGAGATGAAGTGATTTTCCTCAGGTTATATAACTCAGTGGAGGCTACGCTGGGGCCTGAATCCAGGTCTCCTGAATCCAAATCTGGCACTTTATTCACCACATCAATCCTGTGTCTCATATATTCTGTCCCCCACTGAGACCTCCAGGGGCAATACCCTCCTTCTTTTACCTCCTGGGGAGCTGGGGAGCATGTCCTTTCTTTTGTATTTCCTCATTGGAGACTTGGCCATTACCACCCCCAAAAAAGATACATAGTATCTGGTTGGTGGAGAAAAGATCATTTCCAACTATATGGAGAATCATAAGACCATTTGGAATGATTTTTGCTTAAACCAGAATGTTCGCTTTACATTTTTCCTATTAGGTTCACTGGATCTTGCTCACTTTGACACTGGGAGAGGAATGGTTAAGCAACAGATCTGCAAACTATACTCTTTCCTTGAGGGGACAAGGGATGGGTGTTGAGGGGAGGTGCCTTTCCTAGAAAGAAGTTCAACAGATCAAATCTTGTAAACATTTTAACGACAGACCTCCTCACAAATAACCTAATGGTACTTGCTAGCAAGAGAGGACTTAACTAGGAAATGCTTTTTAATAGGATAAATCTGGTCTGTCTAGGGCTTCTTAACAGTAAACAGTCCTAGAATCTGTGGCTTTAGAGGCATGGCTTTCTGGAAGGTGTCACATAAGCTATGCAACTATCTAAGTAAAAAGGGAATATCCTTAATGAGCAAATGGCTCTTTTCAGGGCAAGCCATACAATGTGATGCACATAATTTTCAGACCTTGTAGATCAGTCTGGCCACAGCATGTCCTGATGCTGCAAGAAAGGACATGGAGCTGCCCTGGTGGTCCTGGCCCTTTTCCCTGTGTCATCTCTGCCTTAGAATTACTTATATCCTTGAAATTATGAGTAAAGCTTTATACTTGGTAAGAGATCTAATTAGTGAGAGTCTGATACAAAAATCTAATCCTTAGTGTTATCTTGGATACATTTCCATAAGGATAAGGGAGCTTTGAGTGTCCAAAGAAGAAGTGTGCTACCTAGATCACATGTTTGGGAGGGAGACGTGATCATTTCTCAGCTATGTCCTTGGCTCCAGTCAGTATAATGTCATACTTGTTCGGAAAGTGGTATTTACTTCTGCCAACCTAAAGTTCTGAGATTCTCCCACCCCTTTCCTTATTTTAACCTTCCCAATCTTATTTTCATACATCATCAAAGAAAAACCTGAGGCAAAACGTAAGAGAAAAAACAAGAAATATGCTTGTTTATGACAGAAAACATGAATCAGTTTAATCCTCCCTGCCCAAAACAATTTAGCAAGTCTACCAATCTACATCAGGGTCAATAAATTTTCCCTGATCCTTGCTATACTTTATGATGAGGAGAAGGCTCCACATTTAATTTAGGATCCCTTCGTAAAGCCACAGCAGATTTACATGAAGGATGTTGAGCACTCTGATATAGTTTCTACTTTCATGCCATACCTAAAGTGATGAACCCCAGAGGATACTGATAATTCAATATACATTTATTTGAAATAAAACTGACTTTATGAAAATAAATTCCCTATTATTTATTTATAGGAAAAGCTCAGCAAACTGTTTTTCTCTTACTCAGCAGGCGCTCTGCCACCAGCACATTTAAAAGGGACCAAAATTATATACTTCTTTTCTTTTCTTTCTTTTTTTTTTTTTTTAACACAGAGTCTTGCTCTGTCCCGGGCCTGGAGTTTAGTGGCATGATCTCAGCTTACTGCAACCTCTGCCTCCCAGGTTCAAGCAATTCTTCTGTCTCAGCCTCCCAAGTAGCTGGGACTACAGGCACATGCCACCACGCCTGGCTAATTTTTGTATTTTTAGTAGAGACGGGGTTTCACCGTATTGGTCAGGCTGGTCTCAAACTCCTGACCTGAAGTGATCCACCCACCTCAGTCTCCTAAAGTGCTGGGATTACAGGCATGAGCCACTGGGCCCAGCCTATCTTCTTAAAAAAATAATAATAATTTTATGACTTCCTCACAATCAAAATTCTGCCACTTTTTCTACTTCTTAGCTACCTCCATAGGCACCTCTTCCTTAAAACACTCAATTCTAGAACAAAGGTCCAGAGCCCAACCCTTCAACTGCCTTCAGCAAAACACAAGCCTATTCCGTCCTAAACTTCCCTCCCTTGTCTGTGCCACATAACTTATCCTAGGGGGCTTAAGCCTTACAGGATTCAAGGGAGAGGTAAAAAGCCATATATTTTTTTAGAACTGCATCTTAGTTGATGTAAGACACTAGCAGTATGGATAGGTGAGTCAGCATCGGTTTGTCTTTTTTTTTTTTTCCCCCTTTTTAAATTTACAACCCAACCAATTCTTGAAAAACCTTTGGGATACACACATTTACTTCTGTGGCCTTAGAGGCATGGCTCTCTTTAAAAAAATCATAAAAACTTTTATGGTTTTTAAAAGTCTATTAGTACAAGAAAAATAATTTTATTTTTTATTTTATTCATTTATTTTTTGAGATGGAGTCTCACTCTGTTGCCCAAGCTGGAGTACAGTAGCATGATACTGGCTCACTGCTGCCTCCACCTCCGAGGTTCAAGCAATTCTCATGCCTCAGTCTCTGAGTAGCTGTCCGGATTACAGGCACACACCACCATGCGCAGCTAATTTTTCACCATGTTGACCAGGCTGGTCTTGAACTCCTGACCTCAAGCAATCCACATGCATTGGCCTCCCAAAGTGCTGGGATTACAGGCATAAGCCACTGCACCCAGCCAACAAAAATAATTTTAAAAGGCCAAGCATCTAGCGGAACAGGAAAGAAGAAGGCAATTATACACAAAATCTGGGCTAACGAGATTCTTCTGTAACCAACCACAAAATTCAGTACTAACTTTCGAATAGCCACACGTAAAGAAGGGCCTAAGCATCTGTCATTTAAAGATACAAACGGTACTCATTTTTCAGGAGAGAGGATTCCTTACACCTCTGTCCTGAGATGGCACAAGAATTTCTTGTGAGTCTTTATATAAGACATTTCAAAAAACAAAGGGAAAGCAGTTTTGCCTGAACAGCTGAGATGTCTGCACACTCTTTCCTCACACTAGTCCTCATAGAGGCCAAGGGTGTAATATCCGATTGTAACACTTTAAGCTGTTTCTGCAGGGTTGGATGGCTGTAGTTCTGGAAGCAGATGCCCATAGCCTCTTCTAGGAGATGAGGAAGCAGAAGAATTGGAGAAAAGAGGCTGAAGGGAAATGATGGTGCATGGCTCCACCCTGACTCAAAGGACAGAAAAACCCACCAGGGCACAAGCTCCTGCACCTTCACTTCTCTGCTGCCCTCATGCCTCTCATCATGGAACCCTAAGTGCTAAGCCAGGGAGATTACATGGGCTGGGAATGGTGGACTCACTCCATGACTACAATGGTGGATTTGAAATTAAACTGGTTTTCAGGTTCAGTGAAGCTAGATTAGTTAAGTTTTTGCAGGCATCTCTAAACATAAGCTGAATTACATCAGTTTTTCTCTGAAATTACACAATGTACTTATAACATATCCCCTACTATCCGTTTATCTTTGCATTAAAGGAGCAACCAGCAGGATATTCCAAATGAGGGAAAACTTTACCCCTAAACCTTAAGAGTATAGATGGGTGTTATTTAACTACCTGTGTCAATTCCCCAGGCTTTCTGTGGAAATGACATTATTTTCAGTGTATCAATGCATTGTTATACAAGAAGGATCAACCCAACTTACTTAGTGTTTTATGTATTTGGTTATTTAACCTTTAAAGAAAATATTTTGAAGGAAAATCCAAATCCCTTGGTTGGCTCCAGAAGAACCCCTAACGTGAGAACCTATAGATATAAGAATACCCTTGTGTTTTAATATGTAACCTTTGACTATTTTCCCTCAAAATCCTCACCATCTTGACATTCACAAACACAGAGATTAAGGCAATGGTAGGTGCCACCCTGGCCTCTACTACCCATGTAAACTAGCACTGCCCTTAGGACTCTGACTTTTTTTTTTTTTTTTTTTTTGACTGAGTCTCACTTTGTTGCCCAGGCTGGAGTGCAGTGGCACGATCTCAGATCACCGCTACCTCTGCCTCCCAGGTTCAAGCGATTCTTCTGCCTCAGGTTCCCAAGTAACTGGGATTACAGGCACACATCACCACACCTGGCTAATCTTTTTGTATTTTTAGTAGAGATGGAATTTTGCCATGTTGGCCAGGCTGGTCTCAAACTCCTGGCCCCAAGTGATCTCCCCACCTCAGCCTCCCAAAGTGCTGGGATGATAGGCATGAACCACTGTGCCCGGCCAGATTCTGATCCTTGATTTCATCAAAAGCAGGGGCTACCAGGAGGAATCTGCTTCTGGAAGGAGGGACAAGAAGGCATCTAGGGACCAGCCAGTGCCTGAGAAGACAATTGCTAAAAGTTGTGCAGTGGTAGGTAGATGAGAAAATGGTCACAACTTATTCCTGCTCCCATTTCTCCCCCTTCTGCCTTAAAAGAGGCATCTGGAATTCCATGGGATAGGACAGCAATGCCAGTGTGGGTTGAAGTGCTGCTCTAGGTAGAGGAAAGGTCTTCAGGCAGAAGCATTCCCATCCTTAGGGGCCAAAGCTGGGACTCCCTTGGCCCAGGCAGTAGCCAATGGAGGGGGAGGGGGAGAAGAGGGGAGGTACCTTCAGGAGCAGTTGATATTTGGTGATCCTTTGGACAGGCTTAATTAGGTAGGAAGAGATGGAGTTGGCTAGACCATGCCGCTGCTGTATCTCCTGTAGGGATGAAAACAAGGTGTAATTAGACACAGAGTGGCATGTGCATGTGTGTGTGTTCTGAAAGGAGAGAGGCAGGAACCAGAAGAGAGGAAGAAAGAGGAAAAGGTAGACAAGTATGAGAAAATGGTCTTTCATAGGGAGAGGGGAGTAAAAAGAGAAACAAAAGATGCATATAGAGAGAAAATAGGAGAGAGTAAAAAGGGAGAAAGCTTAGGGAACGAAGCAGTGTGTGAAACAAATAGAAATTGGGCAAAAATGGAGAAAAAGAACAGTAGAAAAGAGAGCAATAAGGTAAACAACAGAGTGGAAGGTAAGGAGAGATGACGTGGGAGTGAAAGGAAATAAACTTCAAAAAGGGGAGTGAGTACAGGGAAGGCAGAGAATGAGGCTTCAACTTCCATTCTGATGGCTCCTGAGGAGCCTTTACCTGCCCTCAGTCTCCTTAAAATAGCAGAAAGATATATCTCTTTTATTAATACCATCCTTCTCTTTAAATTTAACACACCCCAACTCAGGGTCATCACTTTCTTATAAATGTTTCATTGTGATCAATGGCACCTCCTTCATTCTTCAGGTCTCCTAAGCTAGAAATCACAGAGTCAATTTTAGTAATTTCTCCACTGTTATTTCTGGTGACAAATCTCCTTTCCATTTCCAGGGACATCACCCTCATCACTCATTCCCAGGCTAAGGCCATGGCCTCCAACTGCTGTTTGTGCTTCTAGTCTCTCCTTTTAATCTATTCTCTAACCTACCTCCAAAATAATCTTCCACTCCCCAAAATCTAGGGGTTATAAGGGTCAGAGAAAGGTATATTTTTGTCCCTGCCCTCAAAAAGCTTATAGTCTAGCTGAGAATACTCAACGCACACGAACTAGAGATCAACAAAGGACAATAGGGGAAATTGTACAGTCAATAAAAATAGAGAGAGGTTATTGGGGTTGGGAGTAGCCGGGTGGTTAGTAGAGATAAGCCTCAACTTCACCTGGAGCTTAGAGGTGAGGTGGGCAGAGGGGGTGGGTAAAAGATTAGAAGAATGACATTCACTCACATCAAACACAAAATGTACTAGCTGAAATAATCATTGTATGGTTAGGTGATGATGAGGATCACAACTGAATGGTACATAGGATGAACACCCACCTTCTATAAGAAGTGAAAAATATAGTTAGATATGCAAAGTTGGGTCACTGATTGGTTTGAGTTAGGAAAGAGTTAGGATATGATGGTAATTTTTTCAATAAAGTATCACAGATCTTAAAGAGAAAAAACGGCTGAGGCATGGTGTCTCATGCCTATAATTCCAGCACTTTCGGAGGCCAAGGTGGGAGTATCACCTGTGTCCAGGAGTTCAAGACCAGTCTGGGCAACATAGCCAGATCCCATCTCTACAAAAAATACAAAAATTAGCTGGATATGGTGGCACATGCCTGTAGTCCCAGCTACTTGGGAGGCTGAGGTGGGAGGATTACTTGAGCCCAGGAGGTCAAGGCTATAGTGAGCTATGATTATGCCACTGCACTCAGCCTGGGTGACAGAGAGAGACCCTGTCTCAAAACAAACAAACAAAAAACAACAACAAAAAGAAAAAAAAAAAACACATGAGAGACAGAGAGACAAGTTACAAGGCTATTGGAAAGGCCCAGATGTGTAGACATAACGTTACCACATGATCCAGCAATTCAAGTTCTAGGTATATACCCAAGAGAAATAAAATATATCCATGCATGAACAACCCAAATATACATAAACTGATAAATGGAAAAATAACACGTAGTATATTCATACAATGGAATAATACTTAGACATAAAAGGAAATGAAGTCCTGATGCATGAAACAAAATAGTTGAACCCTGAACACATTATGCTAAGTGAAAGAAGCCAGTCACAAAAGAACATGTACTGACTCAATTTTTATGAAATGTCCAGGCAAGGTAGATCTATCTGTAGAGACACAAAGTATATATCATTTGTTGTTTGGGAGTGGAAGTTTGTGGTGGAGAGCTGGGGAGTGATAGCTAAAGGATACAGGATTGCTTTGTGAGGTGATAAAAATGCCCTAAAATTGACTGTAGGGATGGTAGCATATATCTGTCAGTACATACAAAAAACCACTGAATTCATACTTTAAATGGTTGAAATGTATGATATCTGAAATCATCTCTCAATAAAGCTGTCATTTAAAAATAGGTCCAGGTATGCAATATAGGGGTATGTTCTAAGCTAGAATTAGTGAGAATAAATCATTGGGAAGAATAAAAGAGACATTTTCTTTTCTTTTAAAGATGGGGTTTCACCACATTGGTCAGGCTGGTCCTGAACTCCCAACCTCAGGTGATCCGCCCGCCTTGGCCTCCAAACTGCTTGGATTATAGGCGTGAGCCACCATGCCTGGCCAAAAAAGGGATATTTTAAAGATGGACTAGATAGGACTTGTTACGGGGCTATGAAGAGTAGTAAAGGAAAGAGAATAACAATTTAAAAAATTATTCCATTTCCTATCAGAAATTATTTCTATCCCAGAAAGCAGTAATTTTGTCACCATTTGCCTCTTCCCCAGAGACGTGTAGTTACAAGACTTGTTTGAGGATGATGGGCAAAACAGCTGCAGCTTGACCCTCTTCAGGCAACTGAACCTGTTAGTTTATCTGGAGGTTCTGGCAAGACAGCACAAGCAACAATGCACCTTTGACACTCTTCCGTCTCTGATGAGAAGCCCAGCTTCAGGAAGGCTGCATGTGGAGCAGCGAGGAAGGGGCCTACGTCAGTCAAACCAAACTGAGACATCACACCCACGCTGTTCTCACATTTAGGGTCAAACGTTCTGGATCATGTGAATGTGTAACCCTTTCTAGGACTTTAATTCTCTGTGCTCTCTTAACAGTAATGGATATTAGGGGACTCTCTTTATTAAGGGTTTATCTCATTTATAGAATGAGGGCCTAAAGCAGATGGTTCCTAAATGTAGAAGTTAGGGAAACTCTTCTGACAGAATGAAAATAAGCTGCAAAGATTACACCTTTTGGAAAGTTTTGAAAGCAATCGGAGAGTTTACTCTCCTCCTTCCCCACTTCCAGGGCAGACTTGAAGAACTCCTACTGGACTGTTTTTCTGGCTTCCATCAGCTTTTCCAACTAAGGTAGAGGCTCACTAGGCACTACATTGGAAATGGGCGACAGGGTGGGAAATTTGGGGATATACCTGACTTATCAAAGCCTAGATATTGGCTAGAAATGGAGATGTGAGGCACGTAGGACTAAAGGAAAACACAGTATAGTGCCAGGCACTGAGATGTTTACAAATATGAACCAGGCAAAAAGTCTCAAGGAGCTCATAGGTGGAGGGAGATGCGAGTAATAGAAAGGTACACTGCTAACCTGCCCAAAGGAAAATCATTACACATGCTATAACAAAGATACAAAGTACAAAGGAAAGGATTCATGCAGGAAGCAGCACGTGACCTTTAAAGGATAGGAAGAATTTTGGAAAGAAGATTGTGTGTGTGTGTGTGTGTGTGTGTGTGTGTGTGTGTGTGTGTGTGTGTGTGTGTGTGTGTGTGTGTGTGTGTTTTATGGAGGGGACACAATCTATCCTAGGCAGAGAGAGCAGCGTGAGCAAAGATATGAAGCAGAAGAGTTTGAGGCATGCTCAGAGCACAGGACATGTATGTCAGAAAAGTGCTAAGTGGAAGACAGGACATGATACATTTAAAACTTCAGAAAGAACCTTCTGGATACTGTTCATGAATAATCAATAGAAGCATCCTAAGGGAAAAAGATCCTCAATCAGAGGTAATAGTGGTATAGAGCATCCAATATGATACTCAATAATATCAGGTCAAAGAAGTACTTTTCTTGGGTTCTTCTTTGATACCAAATCTGACCCCAGATACTCCAGTGTGGGACACATTGAGCCATTTCCATATTGATGCTCCATTAAAAAAATGTGTGTGTGTTTCTTCATCTGGCTTTCTCTCATTAGAATGTCATTTCTTTACTGAACATAAGACATTTATAGAATCACTTCTGTTGAGGCAGTGCCAGGCTAGAAAGATGCTCAGGGAAGGTTTCTTTTGCACACCTGAGTACAAGAACCCTGTTTAAATGTCTTTTATTCTCCACGGGGCCTAGCCCACTACCTTGCATACAGTGGACATCCAAACATTTGTGAAAAAAAAAAAAAAAAAACAGGTAGGCAGAAAGATAGATAACCTTTAAAAAGTTCTAAGTTTCTAGTTCATCACTTCTGATATGACTACCAAAATGGCCGTCACTGCTATAGTCTGCCTCTCACTAAACTTTCTTTTTTCCCCCAATTTCACTTTTCCCTCTTATTCATCCTTTGAATCCGCAAGGATCCCTTTGATTTTGCTTACTGTAAAGCCAATACATCACTCTCTTTGGGAATCAGCACTAAATAGATAGATCTCACCATTCACCAACAAGATTGTGTCATCATTCCAAACCAAAGGATCTGACAAGGCACACCAGCCTCGCTCTTTTCTTGGCTTCTATCACAGCAGAAGTGTTCAGGCCTGGCTGCACATCACTCTCACCAGAAACTAAAATATCCCAAAGCTCAGGCCATAGTCAGGCCAATCATAGCAGAACCTCAGGCATGGGATTCAGGATCAGTTTTTTTCAAAGCTTGCCAGGTGATTCCAATGTGTAGCCAAAGTCAAAACAACTGCATTAGAGAAGTGATTCTCAAACTTGAGTGGACTTCAGTCACCCAGAGGCCTCTTTAAAACTCAAGTTGTTGGGCTCCCCCCGAGAGATTCTGATTTAATAGATGTAGACTGATGTCCAAGGATCACATTTTTGGAAACACTACGTTTGTGAGAGCTGTATAGGAAGCAGAAGTGAAATACATTAATCAACAGCTGCATCACAGTGGGCCTGCTCTAAACATGTGCTTTATGGCTACCTAGGTTTGGTGTGGAGGCATGGAAACAAATTTGCCTCATCAAAAATCACATTGGTTGACACAGGATAGGGTAAAACAAAATATAGGTATATACATTTTTGGTTTTTTTCCATGCTTAAGGTTTGGAGCGGCCAGTAAAGAAAAATTAGGAACAAAGGATAGCTAAACATCCATTATGCTAAAGCAGAGAAGCATTTCCACCTGCTCAACAGCTGCTCAAAAATGGAAAACCACAACTTACATCAAAGAAGGTGCCTGCATGCTCCAGGATAAGCTGGTTGGAATCAGGCTTGTTTTTACAGTAGGTGACATACATCTGAAATTTGTCTGCCTAAAAAGAACAAAGATAATAACAGATAAGCATACATTAGTTGCTCCCTTCTGTCCACAATGCTAAACGGCCCAGCAAGGGCTGTACAGTTAAAACCCTCAGATGCCAAGGGCTAGATTTTCTATCGCAAATGTTCTGTGCTCATCCAGCCCCCATGGTCCCCTAACAGATATGGAGATGTCTTTCTCCTGTCAGCATGTAGAAAAAGCTTCTGAAACTGAGCTCATTTTAATACTAGTTTGTGCTAGGAAGAATCAGGAAAAGCAACTCATACATCCTGATCTATTCTGAAATTGGACAGAACTTAGTTACTGATTTTACCCTTTTTTGGATTATCTACAATTGTGCTCCCCATCTTGAAAAAAGACAGCATTTGCTCTGAATACAAAAGCAAATAATGAAGATAAAGTATGTCCTCAGAGGTAGATCTGCTTGTACTCTAAATGTCTCCAATGGAGAGAGGTAGAGGGGCATGTCAAGCAATTATACTATCCCCAACTTCCCAGAGCAATGACGGGGGTGGGCGAGGGGAGAGAAGGCAGACTGACCCCCTGGGGCAGAGGCTAAACAATGGTTCCTAACCAGATTTTGTTACTTCAAGCCAGGAACCTTAATGCTGGGTGAAAATTCATTTCTTATTTTCACCCAGCCATAAGGTTACTGGGAAAGGTATGTATATTTTTGCCACCAAATGCTTTTCTTATTTGGTGAAATGCTTTCCATCTCAGAGCCTTTGGAACTTTGTGTTTGCATCCTCTTCTGAGACAGCAGCCCAAACATGTTTTTATTACAGCAGACTTCATTTATGCTAGCATTGTTCTAAGAGCTTTACATGTATTCACTCATCTTGTCCTCATGAGACCTCTACACAGTGAGTTCTATTATTATCCCCAGTTTGCCCATGAGAAAACTGTGGCACAGGCTGGTTAAGTGACTTTGAATTCCCACAGTTAGCAGGTAGCAGAGCCTTACCAGCTAACTGTGGGAATTCAAAGTCACTTAACTAAGCAGGGTATCTGACTTTAGGCTTCTTGGTCTTAACCACTTTCTTTCAATACATTATAAACAATTTCTTCTACCCTTCATTTCTGCATTACATTCATATATTAAGATTATGAGACTTAAGAAAGTCACCTTGGGATAATTCCTGGCAAAAGATGAATATTTTATCCAATCACAAAAATTTTCTGAAACCAATTTTCAGGGCTATATACTACCTAGGAGGTTATTCGTCAACCCGAGGAGACGATGACAAATCATTCTTATGAATTATGATTGTAAAGGAAAGCCACAAATTTCAGGAAACAAGATGCAAAACATATCCCTTTACTTAATGGTCAATCTTGCCATTCTCTATGTTGGCTGTGCAAGGAATCATAAATTATTTATCAGCATTAATACGAGCTTTGCATTGGCTCATCTATTTAGAGGTAGAAAATGTATTAGAACAAAGTAAGATGGCAGCTGAGCTTTCTGAAGAAACAAGAGTGCTTGAAAGCAAGCATTAAGAGTTCATAAAAAAAGCTTGTCTGGGAGTGAGGTCTTGAGTTGTGGGACTGGCTGTGATATTTATTACATGTCAGTGAACTAGTCAACTTCCTATCTCATCTGAGATTTTCCCATCTTTAAAATCTAAAACATAAACCATAGTCCTGCCAACCACATAGGGCTGTTGAGAACATAAAGTCTCTGAATCATGAAGACACTTTGAAAGGTAATTAGCCCATTATGAGTGGAAGTTATTATCAGGTAATTATTAAGTAGTAGAACGCCTGACCTCGGGGATTTCCATGTTTGCACTCAGTGTCCTAAGTGGACTTCCCAGGAGATGTTTGCATTCATATATTGTACATGAGCCTGAGTTCAGAGTGGAGAGCCAATGAAGACTAATGTTTCAGTTTGTATAATTAGAACCTGGGACATTCAGCCCCTTTCCTTGGCCCATGACAATAGTATGAAGGAGGCTGACCACTCATCTTGTGGGTCAGAATTGGGATGGATGCCCCAAAAATCTGTTTTTCTCTATGAAAGAAGCAAATGTAACCAATGGTTAGGTGGAACTCAAAGGATAAACGCTTGAGGAGATGGACACCCCACACATTCTCCATGATGTGCTTATTTCACATTGTATGCCTGTATCAACATATTTAGTCTGCCCTATAAGCATATACACCTACCATGTATACACAAAATTAAAGATAAAAAATTTTTTTAAATGAGTAGGTGGCTTCCTAAAGGTTTAATTCCCTAATCCGTATCCTGTAACAATAGCTAATGGACTGAGCTGTAGTTCCTCTGCCAGGAGTGGTAGTCTTGTTCCACTCTTCTTCTTCTTTCTTCTTTTTTTAAAGAAAGAGTTTTGCTCTTGTTGCCCAGGCTGGAGTGCAATGGCGTGATCTCAGCTCACCGCAACCTCTGCCTCCCGAGTTCAAGTGATTCTCCTGTCTCAGCCTCCTGAGTAGATGGGATTACAGGCATGTGCCACCATGCCCAGCTAATTTTGTATTTTTAGTAGAGTTGGGGTTTCTCCATGTTGCTCAGGCTGGTTTCGAACTCCCAACCTCAGGTAATCTGCCCGCCTCGGCCTCCCAAAGTGCTGGGATCACAGGCGTGAGCCATCGCACCTGGCCTTGTGCCACTCTTCTGATCTCACAATTTTAGAAAGTTCTTAGACAGTTTAAGAGGGAGGTTAATCTTGATGTCTAAGAACTTTTCCCAAGGCTTCTCTCAGACCTACTCATGATCCCTCTTAGGAGCCCCTGGTCCTGTGTGAGACTGGCAGTGACACCAGTCCTCAGGCCAGGCACTGAAGAGTGGTGCCACATGTATGGGCAGTGGGAGGAGGATTTCAGGTTGGTTACCCAGGTAACAAAGCAGTGTCCCACATCTTCAGGCAGCTGCTCGTACTTCTCCAGCTCTTTGAGGAAGATGCTGCAAGAGGAGAAAAAGGCTGAATCAGACACCTCTGTGCAGCCGACCCCCCACGGTATTGCACCAAGGCCAGCACAACGATAACTTCTCAATTATTTACACACGGCTTCTCTACTGTCTAAGTGATAGATGGTGAGGTACAGTTTTCAATGTTGGAACTAATTTCATTAAAATGTAGGTTAATGGATTAATTAGCGCTACTTAATATTCTTTCTCTCAGGGTAAAAACGTCTAGGGGTGAAAATAATAATGAAATATTGTATTTGTGTTGGACTTTTTATCAGCAAGTATGAATCTACTTTTTTACACAAGTAATCTGAGCACATCATAAATATTTTAAATAATACAGATATTTCAAAGAAACAAAATAAAATATCACATTATCCCACAGATAAAGTAGAAAAAATTCATCCTGCACTGGCCTCTTTCTGTTGGCCTCCATCTTCCACCAGGAGCCAATTTGTACTAAAAACTATGTGTTAAACAATGTTTTATAATACAAACACCATTAGGAAAGAAAATTTAATGGGTAAAAAGTCACAACATATTCCAAAGCTGAATTGAATTACAATTGAATTATCTGCCAATGTGGTTATCCATGCCATGGCTCCTTTCCATGTTAATAAATAATAAATAATTACACTGACTTCAAAATAATGTATTAAAGCATTGGTTTGGCTTCAGAGGATATAAATTCTAATAAGCCAGCACTATTATTAGAATGGTATTTGCTTTAAAAAACACAGTATTTTTCAAATAAAAAATAATGATGAAGCTTTGGGCATATATACTGACAGAAGTGGAAATGCTACGATCTTTACAAGGAACAATTTGACAGGATCGATTAAATAACGAATGTGTTTATTTTTTGACTCTGCAATTTTAATTCTGGAAATTTTCCTGTATATATATATATAAGATGATGTATAGACATGAATATTAGTGATGACACTGTTTATACAAGCAAAAGATGGTCTGTAAAGAACAAGGCATTTAAACTATGGCACACCCACAGAACTAAGTACTATGTAGCTATGAAAAAAATACACAGCTCTCTATGTTTTCATATGGAAGAACTCTGGGAAAAGCTAAGTGGGAAAAGTTACAGAAGAATGTATAGAATATGCAACTTTTTATCTACATAGGGATGGCATATTCTTATTTCCAACCCAATAAATGAATAAAAGACATTACCACAGGGAAGCAGGTGAAGGAACAGAATAGAAGACAGTGGTAGGTGATACTTCTCAATGTTTACTTTTCTGTCTAATTTTGATTTTAAAATTGTGAGATCGCATTATCTTCCAAAATTGAATTATAAGATACAAAGTGGTTCTGCTTAACTCTACTACTTACCTGTAACACAGAGGGGAAAAAGGTTTTTGACTAACTCTTCCTAGCTTCTATTGTTCACATATTTTGGCAGTATGTTATAATTAATTACAAGTGGTTATGGATTTCACATAAGTGTTGCATGTGTTCCTCCTTCAGTGACATAGAATGACGTTTTGGAGCTTAAAAATATATATGTGCAATTAAAAATGTTTGGCAGATCCTATTTGGAAAGCCAAAATGCTAATAATAGTTGATGCGGTAATAGATGACTTATTTGTCCATCTGTAACTTTTCTACAATAAATGAGCACTGCTTTAATAATAAGAAAAATAACCATTTAAAAAATGTGGGGGACTCCAGGCAGTACCCAGTTGGTGATCATCATCTTTGTCCTTATATAAGTGATTTTAGAGTATTCTGACCGGAATCATAGAGTAATTATAATGCAGTTTGGGCTTCAGCAATGCAAATATGTAGTGCTCAAGGTCAATAAAGTGTCATATTTGTTGCTACTTTTTAAAGAACTACAAGTGGCCGGGTGCAGTGGCTCATGCCTGTAATCCCAGCACTTTGGGAGGCCAAAGTGGGCGGATCATGAGGTCAGGAAATCGAGACCATCCTGGCCAACATGGTGAAACCCGTCTCTACTAAAAATACAAAAATTAGCTGGGCGTGGTGCCACGTGCCTGTGATCCCAGCTACTCGGGAGGCTGAGGCAGGAGAATCACTTGAACCAGGGAGTCAGAAGTTGCAGTGAGCCAAGAATGTGCCACAGTACTACAGCCTGAATGACAGAGTGAGACTCTGTCTCAAAAAAAAAAAAAAAAAAAACCTACAAGTGACACATTTAAACTAGTATATACTTAATATGACCATTAAAATGCAAATTTTAAAAAGTGCTATGTAATGTTATAATTGAGGATCACACTTAAGACCCAAAGGGAAAAATATACTCTTTTTTTGTTGAGAAAAGAATCAATCTGGGTCATTATCATATATACACACACACAGGTACACATAAATTCATATATATACTTACATGTATTTAATTTAAAATTTAAAAAATTTAGATAATAGAGATGAGGTCTTGCCATGTTGCCCAGGCTGGTCTCAAACTCCTGAGCTCAAGCAATCCTCTTGCCTTGACCTCCCAAAGAGCTGAGATTACAGGCATGAACTGCCATCCCAAGCCTGGGCTCTTCTCCTTGAAGAGTAGTAAAATAAATGGTAAAACAGCCCAGATTAGGACATTCCACACAGGACATAAAATTGTTTTATTGTTTCAGAAGTTGCAAGGATACCCATGATGACTCATGGAGAGTCATTATTTATGACCCAAGAACAGTTGGCCTGGTCACTTTAATTTGAAGTAAACAATGATAATTATGTCCAAAGAATTGATCAGTGATAGAAAGACCGTGCTAGCAATTTTATTTAAAATCTTACCAATTTAAATAGAGCAATACCCTGACTTTTGTGATAGCAGCTACCAAAAACCTATGGAAGATGCACAATTTGAAAATCCTCAGGAAACAAAAACACTATAACCAGAATTAAATGCACAGCTTATAATTTTCATGATGAATGTCTTTCTGTAAAATGAAGGTTTTAACAGCAGTTATCACTAGGTCACCTGTCTACCTACCCCCAGGTCTCACTATCTTCTCCTCCCACAAGTGAGCACAAGTTAAAGAACCAGAGTTCACACTTGGTCACAGTTGCGAAGGGGTCTTTCCTTCCAAAGCTTCATTCCCCTCATCTTTAAATAACAACTTTGCCGAGGCAGGTAGATCACCTGAGGTCAAGAGTTCGAGACCAGCCTGGCTAACATGATAAAACCCAGTCTCTACTAAAAATACAAAAAATCAGCTGGGCATGGTGGAGGTTGCCCATAATCCCAGCTACTCAGGAGGAGGCGGCGGTTGCAGTGAGCGGAGATCGTGCCACTGCGCTCCAGCCTGGGCATTAAGAGCTAAACTCCATCTCAAAAAAGATAAAAATGAAAATAAATAACAACTTTGTGGGAGTGCTTTTAAGGATTTAATAAATCCACAGGTAAAAATAACCCAACCCAGTGCCTGGAAACACAGTAGACATCAAGTAAATAGCAGTTATTCACGATCAGTGTTTCTCAATCTTAATAAACTCACATTCTCTTTGATAAACACATATATCTGACACTCTTCCCCACTCCTGGAGACATATCTAGGGGGATCTCCCTACCAAGCCCTTGCTGAAAAATCTGCAGCAGGTTACTTTCTCCTAAACCATATCCTGGGAAAATCTTGATTGGTTATTATGCAAAAATTGGATTCCAAGGTCACCTATCACTTGTTTGGGAAATGTTGGGCTAAGCTGGTTTCTTTGCTGAAGAACTTCAAAAATTCTATAACATGATGAGTTACACTATAAACCACTGAAGTAAATCCAGTATGCAGTGCTTCCCAAACTTCTCTGCGAGTACAACACTTTTGGGGCAAGTATCAGACTTTGTCTCAAGAAACACTCTTGGAAAACTCTAGTTAGTGGTCCCCACACCTGGTTGTACATTGCCCTCTGGGGTTACTATCTGAGTAAATGCATTGTTTAGAAAAACTTCCTGGGTAATTCCCACACATCCAGTCCATCGATCAGCTTTTAAAGGCAACTGTCCTGGATTCCAGCATGCTTCCAGATGGCAAATCCTACATCGGCTCTATAGGATTTAATTTAGGAGGAGAAAGCTAAGAATTTAAAAAATAAAACCTATTCAGCTTGTATCAGGCATATCAATTGATAAGTCTGAATAAGATAATTATCACCATCTCAATGTAATTGTTGAAAGTAAGTGGCAATATTAAACTCTGTTTTGCTTCTTAATTTGAAACTTATGAAGATGACAGATTACATAAGTCTGATCAATATCATTCCACTTATCTCAAATAGACATGATGAATTTAAATTAAAGGGTAACAGCTCACAACTCTCTTCACAAATGATGGAACATTTCACCTTAGCTGTTCTTTAGCAACAATTTGGCTTTTACCACTCCAATAATTACATGTAATAAATTGTGAAAGAATGAGCAAAACAAGTCATTTGTTTGTGTGAATGTCTAGGGTTCTTTCAGAAAGGAACAAAACTTTTAAAGAAATGTCAAGATCGAAGCAATGTCATTACTCTATTAAATTATTACAATATAATATATCATGCAGTTACTTTATGAGGAAAATTCTTTCCTTTGGCTTTGTACAGAATCCCCGGAAATGACACTGCTGGCATTCATTAACAGAAAGCTTACTGAGTTTTGTCATTAAGTATTATAGAAGCAGCACTATTCCAAAGGTACCAGAGTGGTTTTGTTACTCTCTCTGAAGGTGAATTTGGTCTAGAGTCTCACTGCTTCTGGGGAAGTGTACCCTTCATTGAGGGGCTCACAATCTTGTCAGCAAACAGACTTTACATCAAGGGTGCCGTCCACATCTAAATGGAAATATGTGTTTGATGACCTTGTGTGTCAGTGTGCACTTGCTTGCTGGAATGCCAGAGGTATAAGGGGAAGGGGCCTGTTGCGGCGATGGGAAAGAGAGGAACAATGTGGAGCATACATTTAAAAATTAAGTTGGAAATGAGGCGGGGAGAAAGGTGTGAGGTTCAGGTATTTGTAGGAAGCCCAGGACATTGCC